TTTAACTGGTATCCCTTCATCCAAGAGAACCTACCATATAAATTAGTATATCTGAGATCATCACAGACATAATATAATAAATAATGCATAAAGATGTAAGAAATAAAAAAGGAGGAAGAGAGAATGCAGAGAATTTTTAAGTTGTCAGATCCCATAGATATATCACATATCCAACACTCAATCATGGTTTAAACTGCATCATCAAGATGATTTCTCTATACCATATGATCGGTATATTTCCTCTTGCTTTTCCATCTCAAAAACAGGTGGGACTTCAAAAGAAAATGGTGCTAGATGGATGTATTTCAGTCCTACCTGTTTTGCTTTCTCAAACTGTCCACAAGCTGCATATGCATTAATAAGTGACATAAATATGTGCTTCGTTACTGTAATCCCAGAACACTTCAGTTCTTCATAATACTACAAGCAAATAATCCAATTATTGTATCAGTGGCCATGAAACCCATTTGTAGCATGACAAGAATAGAAGTAGCAATAATGCAAGAGACAGCAGAAATGAACTTATCTACATATAGAAACAGGGAAGACATAAACTTCAAGCAATTACTATATTGCATCAAAGTACCTTGATAATATCCTCTTCACAGTCACAATAGCCTATTAAATAGCTGTAAGTTTGAGGATCTGGTTTTACACTGTCAAGTTCCATTTGCTTGAGAACCCTCAACCCAGCGGAAATTTTCTTCTGAAAATATTTATATAACAGTGACATAAATCATGCATGAGGCATGTTTCAGATTAAAATGGCAATAAAGCTTCCCCAAAAAGAAAAGAAGAAACCAAATAAATACAAAAGGTATTAGACTGTAAAATTACCTCTCGAAAATATCCTGCCATTATAGCATTATACATGCCAGCTACAGGTTTAACATTCATTTTCCTTGAATCATTCAGCATCGCATATGCACCACCAAACTGCATTTAATGGATGACAAGAAATACAAGCTCTATTTAACTTAAACTCGGAACAAAATTAGTTTGATAAAATACACTCCCATTAAAATGAAATTAGGAATTAGGAAAAGCAAAAAGAATTAACTTGCAATATGCACAAGCACTGGGAACTACAAGATAGCAGCTTACATCTTTCATTTTCACACTCAAACTTATCATCCTTCTGAATGTCTCAGCATTTGGCTTAAGGCTATGGCAACAGAACACTGAATAAATTCGCCGAACCTTAGGATCAAACAAAATGACAAGAAAGATAATAAGAAACTCAGATAGTGGTCAACAGTCAACAACAATATAAAATTCTCAATGAGAGTAATGATAAAACAGTATAAG